CATGGAGTATGACTTTCAAATTTTGCATGTGTTCATATGAGCAACATATCATCATTCTGACCAAATTTCATTAAAATCTGAGGGGGTCACCTGGGGACCTCTGGTTGATTTGACATGGAATGACCCTAGTGCGACGTATAATTTCCGACACTCGGACCATCAACGGCACTGAGAAAATGCGCTAACGTCAGTAAATGTAGGCAGATATATACGAAATATTATTGTCAATGTTAAACTGACGTCCGTTAGTATTACAGATTTATTTTTGTTATGTCAATTAAACCATTTCTTTTAGATCCCTGTACTATCTGGCTCAGTTGATATATCAGTCTCTGGCAATGGTTCCTGCCTAGTTCAATTCACTGTTTCCTACAATGTGGAAGAGGTTAACCAGGTACCAGCATTTGATGTTGTGTTAACAGTGATCGACGTAGTTCCAAACAGCATCCAGCTCAAGGTTTGCGGGAAGTAAGTCTAATGTTCATAGTTGTGAGTGGAGATGTAGCTTTGTGGTTAAGATGCTTGCCTTCCAATCCCAGGGTCAACGGCGCCGGAACGTTTATGAAAGTGGGGGGCCACTTAATAAGGTCGAGTATGCGAGCGAAAAGAGCATCCAGGCTGGGGGCCGCCAAGCCCCCCCGCCCCGGTGGGGGTTCAGGGGGCGAAGCCTCCTGGAAGCTACGGATATTTTACGAAGTTTGGTGAATTTTATAAGTTATTTTATAGGCATCAAGCTACTGTAATATGATTTTCATATTAGTTGTAATTTCCAGTGGCGGATCCAGGAATTCGAAATAGAAGGGCCCAGGGAGGGTACTTTGACAGATAGAAGATCTGTACTACCTCAGCCCCACCATGGTTGGGGCTGAGGTAAGAACATTTGTGATTATGACACCTTTAGATGGCCGGAAATTGCACTTCCAGACACAAAATTTGAATATAATTATCATTATATCTCCATTTTTTTTTTATTGAACAATATAGGAGGGCGGGGGGCGGGCCGTCTGGGTCCCCTTGAATCCGCCACTGGGTACTTCAGCAGATGGAGAATCTATACCACATCAGCCCCACCATGGTTGGGGCTGAGGCAAGAAAATTTGTGATTATGGCACCTCTAGATGGCTGGAAATTACACTCTTAGACTTAAAATTTGAATATAATTTTCCTTATAATCTCCATTAAAAAAATTGAAAAATTTAGCTAGCTCCTTTTCCCCCGATGGATAAAAATTACCCTTCTATAAGCTAAGCTCGGAAATGATACTCCAACTGTGGCGGGTCCACAAAGTCGAAATAGAGGGGTTCCAGGGAGAGTCTTGCGTAAATATAATGTCCACCCGCCTCAGCCCCACAACTGTTGTTATTATGATTATGGCACCTCTAGATGGCCGGAAATGGCACTCTCAGATTAAAAGCGGGATACATTTTTTTTTTACTCCATACAGTTTTACAACCTATAACACATTAACTACAGTGTACTGTAAATTCTGTAGTTAACCTTCAGACAGGCCTAATTGTTAATACTAAAACTGGTAATTTGTTAAAGCTCCTTGTCAGTTATCTTAGTGAGCGTGAGCAACGGGTAATTTTGGAAGGAGCTTTTTCCACCTGGCTCCCCGTTAAATCTGGAGTTCCACAAGGAACCATCTTAGGCCCTCTACTTTTTAACCTATTCATAAACGATCTCCCGTTAAATCTAAGCTCACAATGCTTAATGTATGCCGATGACTTGAAGCTCATTCGGGCTCCCCGCTGTCGAATGTGAATTAAAATAAAATAAAATAATTAAGTATCTTATTGTTTTCGTTAAATTAGAGTTTAAATGTGGTTATATTACACTGGTTTGAAGGTTTACTGTAAGCCAATCAGTTACACTTTAAACTATACATCTTCGTAAAATGTTTATCACTGGTGCTGGGAACAGTCACAAAAGTCGGGGGGGGGGGGGGCAGGCCCATCTAGATGTGTATAAGAGACAGATGGCCCCCTCCCCCCCCCCGCTTCCGCCGCCGTTGCCCAGGGTCCTGGGTACAATTCCTGTCATGATAAAAGGATTTTTGTTCACGAACAAAAACTTATAATTTGGTTTTGTGAAGGATTTCCACTTGCAAATTCATTAATTTTACTATTGGCATATCCAATAAAAAAATAACATAATACCCTGCTTAGTTTAGACAACTGAACTAAACTTTATTCATAGTGTTTAAGTTAGCAGCAACTGTCATTTACGGTGTGTCAAACGGTTCATGAGGCATAAGTTTCCGTTAGCAGAAATGGTCCATAGTAAGCTGTCAGATAGTTGAGAGTGAGCTGTCAGATGGTCCAGAGGGTACGGAGCCCCTAAAGGGACATGGTTAAAGAAAATATTAAACTATTTCGAGAGAACGAAATAATATTTCGAGGGAACGAATCATTTCGTTCGAATGAAATAATATTTCGTTCGAACGAAATATTATTTCGTTCCCTCGAAATATTATTTCTTATTCCTTCGAAATATTATTTCGTTCCCTCGAAATATTATTTCGTTCCCTTGAAATATTATTTCGTTCCCTCGAAATAATATTTCGTTCCATCGAAATAATATTTCGTTCCCTCGAAATACTATTTCGTTCCCTCGAAATAATATTTCGTATATTGTACGCCCACAGTTCCTTCGGCGTCGGCTGTTTGTCAGGGTGGTGCCAGGATTTTCCCGACGGGGGGGGGGCTAGATGCCCCCGATGAGGGGTCAGATTTCCCGACGAAAGCAAGCAAAGGCCGAGCTGCAATTAAAAGTTTTAGACAGTTTTTAAATTTTGACAATTTAAGAGTTTCAAAGCTTATTTAATCGATATTAGAGTCTACTAATACGGTATGTAGAAAATACATACAATTTGTTTCTCGTTCAATTTGTTTCTTTCGTTCCCTCGAATATTTCAAGGGAACGAAATATTACTTCGAGGGAAAGATATATAATTTCGAGGGAACGAAATAATATTTCGAAAGATCGAAATACTATTTCGAAGGGAACGAATTAATATTTCAAGGGAACGAAATCGAAATATTATTTCGTTCCCTCGAAATAGTTTAATATTTTCTTTAACCATGTCCCGGTGGCTCCGTAAGAGGGAGCTATCAGCAGCTCCATAAACTTAGCTTAATTGGTTCTAAGAATGTCCATTGGGAGTTAACAAGAGAGTCCTCAAAGCCGGCTGGCTGGTGACATTATAGCCATCCGAATGCAAACAAGCAACCAACCATTACAATCACTCACTTCTAAAACGTAATCTCATTGGCTTCGTGGCAAAAATAAATTTAAGAACCAAAGCTTTTCAACAAACCAGCAAGAATTATTACCCGAGTTATTTTTCAAAAACTCGGGTGCTTTGACCATTTCTGCTAACGGAGAAAAATGCAGCATGTTCTTTATTGTAATTAAATTTATGGTTATCTATCAATATTAATGAAATGTATGTTGCATGGAGCTATGATAAAGAACCGCTTTTAAAGTGTTAAATAGTTCTCTATTATGCATTTATAGATATCAACAAATGTAATGAGATCAACAAATGTAAATTCATTAGAAACCCTAAGGTTTTAAATACATTTTTATTCAGTATTATATTTTCGAATATGAGATTTATCATAATATACCATTTATAAACAACCATAAATCAACTGAATTATTAATATCCGTAAATACTTAAAAATGTATAATAAAAGAAACCTTTTGCTAACTCACAGCCATTAATTACCTTAGCATGATTAATAAAAGTGTTAATTTTGTCCGTGGTAGATTATAGAACAAAATATTTAATAACGAATGCTAAATTTGCTTTACTTCATTTAGATATATCAAGGAGGCGGAAAGCGGAATGTCAATCATGGAAATTGGCATTCCATCAGGATTTGAGGTGGATGAGGATAAGTTAAAAATTGAACTGTCGAAGATTGTCACTTTGCAAAACTATGAGATTCAGACGAGATTCGTTAACCTGTATCTTGACAAGGTAACAGCATCTTCCAAGATATATTTTGCTTAACATTGTAATATCTTAAAATCATGATATCGTATGTAGCTGGTTAGCTGATCAGCTGGTTATTTTTATTTATGTTTATGTTTATGTTCTTTTGCTTGTTAACATATAGGCCTATATAGTCCGAACTGTACTGCTGACAATACTGTGGCCAGCTATTGAGACAGTTGGGACAGTCCCACACAATTTTTCTCTTGGGTCCACAAAGAATAGGTCCACATTTCTCATATTTTGTGTACGTTCTGTCTCTTATACACATCTAGATGTGTATAAGAGACAGGTATTTTTACTATTCTCCATACATATACTTTATACTATACTCTATATATATATTACTATGTGTAATGTATAAGTATCTATATAAGTCCGAAAACTTAGGTAACCCTCAAACTATTTATGTCATTTGTTATTTAGCATGTTTTGGAAATGTATAATATTTAAAATTGCGCGTTTATTATCAATATACTGGTAATCATAGTAAACTTTTATTCCCAAATAGATTAATTGCTACAGTTTAGATGTGTGTAATTACCTTTTTACAGCCTAATAATATAAAACATCAATAGCAAATATAACAAGAAGCATATAAAAGATAGAGAAGTATAATGGTAAAAGTCTTTGGGGAGTTTGTTTTTATCTTCGTATCATTTTTCTTTAATAGACGAACAAATGACCACGTTTTATGTGTCTGATACTCTGATGAAAAGCGATATAAGAGAATTGTGCCGAAACTGCGGGGAGGTGGTTACCCTGAGTGCCGGAGAGAGAGGTACCAATGGAAAACCTTCTGCTGGGGTGCTTCACACAAGCCCAAATCCCCTACTAAATACAATTGCACTCATTATAAGCTGTTTTCTCACTGGTTTTCTCTTAGGTGTGAATTACCACCTCTAGATTATTATCAACAGGTGTCAATAAAAACCCTAAGATTTTAGACTTAGGGAAATTGTTAAAGGACTTGTATAGATCAATCACTTGTAGCAGGTGATTTGGAATGGAACTGGTAGTGCTAAATTACACGTATAATTGGGAATACTCTCAAGAAAATAAAAGAGATTGCACGTTGTGTACGTTGGATTCTGTATCCAATATAAGAAGTGCCTTGAGAAGTTCGTCTGGATTATACCAAAAAACTTTAATAGCAGAAGAATGAGCTCTTCGCGTATATTGCATTAAAATTGATGGAACGTCCGCCCTCTCTAGAATGAAGGAAAATTGTGACTGTTTACGAAGTGGAGAAACTAAGGAAACAAACAAACTCGAGTGGTGCCTTGAATTTATTTATTGATTATAAACATAGCGCCGTTTCTAGGATGGAGGAAAATTGCTCCATGGACGCTCTCGATGTTTCACTATATCGCGAACTGCTCTATCTTCTATTTATTATCTTTGATTATACATTGATAATTACTATATGTTGTGTCTGATATACTATTTGAAATTACTTACATGGTAAAACATCATTTCAGTCAGAAAGGGAAATGGTTCTTTATTTAATATATATTTTGCAAATATCCAAATACCTACACTATTTTAAGCTGGCATCTGTCTTGCGTCATGCACAACATAGCTAAGAATTACGAATGTTTTAACTATATTATGATCATGGAATATATGTAACCCATATTAATTTTAGTTTTAAAATTGTTTAGGTCAAATATACTTTATTTATAGTACTTACAAGTTGTTCCTTATTTATTATGGAAAAATATTTGGGGCTCATGGGTTTCTGGATAGATAGGCCTACACACTATTCTGCAATATAGTGCAGTTCAGTCTATAAAGATATTTTGTACCACGGCACACATAAAACACTAATTTGAACTTAAACATATGTTCGATTTTTTTTCTAAATTTGTTTTAGGAGGTTTAACCTCACACAAAAGTTGTTGATGGGTTTTGAAATTAATTATATAATTTTTAATCTGTGTCAGTCTGGCATGTCCATGCTGATTCAACATAGAGTCGAGGATGCGCCGAAGCATTCGGCCCTTTCGTAAACCCGTCGTGCCAACATGAGCCACCGTGCCCAAAATGATGTAGTTTCTACACATGAGCTAGAATTTTGCTTCGTCGTAAAAACGATCGAGTTTGTGAAGAAGGAACATCCGAGCGATGGGTTTTCGATTTTGACGAAATTTTGACAACTATTAGATTGAGTTTATTTTCACAATCTCGATCGCGTTTACGACTCAAAATTCTAGCGCATGTGTATAAACTTCACCATTTTAGGCACGCCGGCTCAGGGTTGGCACGACGGGCTTACGAAAGGGCCAAATGCGTCGGCACCAGCAGCGAGATGGCACTGCAACAAAACATTGCTTCGAGGAGAACTTCATGTTCCCGCATGCGCAGTGGACCTTTAGTGACGTCATTATGTTCTACGTCCTACCCGTCGTCGTGCAATCAAACGCTCCCTAATAATTACTAGACTCTTGGGCGCCTGAGACAACTTTGCCACAAAATATTTCTTTAAATATTGTAAGCCATTATAATACTATAATGTATTAGATTGTTAGAATTAAGCTGTGTCTGAATTGAATGGAAGTAACATTATTTCTATGGTTTTTGAAGTGCAATAGACCAGATAAGACACGAACAATTTACACATATTTAGTAGCCCTACAAATTCTCGAGATGAATGCAAAAATAATGAAATTACATTTCATGGAATATATTAAATAATTGTTGTGATTCTCCTTAACATGTTTCGACCATACCATTATATACATAGGAAATTATAAGATTTAATTTACAATTTCAATATACACAGCTTTGCTATAATAATATTTAAAAAATATATTATTGTGTGTATCTTATGTTACTATTCCATTGTTGATAAATTATACGATATCCATAATCATTTAGTGTGCAAAAAAATAACTTTCTATTTACTCTGAAAACCGCCGTCTCCTCCCTTATTAATACAATTGTCCGGTTTAATATTCAATAAATATGAATAATTGGTTTTATGTTTGCTAGTATTGGATGTCGTTCGAATGAGATAGGTTACTATAGCTGTTACAGAAAACCCGGCCACGTAAGTACACAACTCGGCATTCTTGTTCAGTTACTGTAGTTATTACTAGTTCCTGCACCGAAAGATCCATTGTAAACCAACTTACCTAAAGTAAGCACTTAGGGTATTAAATGTCCATGCAGAACAAATGCTACATGTACACTCTTCAAGTGGCAAACGTCGCCGCGAGCAGCTCTACAAAGAGATGGATACGTGCGCCTGATAAGATGGCATTATTATTAGTATTATTTATTATTAAATGTATATTTTTGGCTCATCACAGACGTTATATCTTCTATTTGACCATCTGTTTACCTTTTATCTGATTGGTATATTTTCTGTCATTTATATAGTTAACAATTGGAGACAGCAAGCTAAGTTTGTTATGAAAGTATACTCTGTACAATCTGTCTCTTATACACATCTAGATGTGTATAAGAGACAGCTGATATAATGCGCCAATTTTAAAATAAAAGATCAAACGTGCGGAAAGTAGTACTGTATTCTGAGAGATGAGTCGATTTAGTGCACATATTTTACCATTGGTCTTAATATGATTTTTGCGCGGGACATACCGTGGTACACCTGAAACACCAAGTCGTGTTGTGAGCGGTGCGCTTCGAGGTCAGAGGTCACTGACATACTTTTTTAACCAAATTTAGCCAATATCTATATTTTAGAGCTCAGCATTTGATAACATATTGAATATTTGAATGAGGCTCATTTTAAATCAGAGAGATAATACTAAATAGTGATTATCACTAAAAGTGATTTTGGTAATTATTTTCCAAAATATTTAGAAAAAAATACTCCATATTCTTTACATTTTTTGATAAAATTTCATATTTCTATTTCAATTAATTACCAATATGTTAATTACAAATAAGCCTACTTCAGATTTTTGTCCAAGCAACTTTAAAAACTGCCTCTATTACATAGGATCACAATAATATCAAAAAGAATTTTGATTTTCCTTCACACATACAGGTTTTAATGAGAAAATAGTGATTTTCACTCATTTTGGTAAAAAATCACACAAAAATCTCGAAAGCCACCTGTCATAGAGAACTAAATTATGTATCAAACTGATGGCAAGTTTATATTCAACATAATGGAAGTCGGTGTCAAAAACATGGTGTAACGGTTGGCACAAAATAGAGAAAATAATAATATCCACTTATTTTGGTAAATAAAAATCACAAAAAAAAGCTATCTCGAAACCACTTGTCATAAAGAGCTAAATTATGTATCAAACTGATGGCAAGAGGCATATGGCAAGAGGCATGTTTATATTCAATATAATGGAAGTCTTAGTAAAAAAAATGGTAGTAAAAAATGGTGTAAGTTGGTAAAAAAAGAGAAAATTATTAATTTTCTCAGTTATTTTTTGTAAAATTCACAAAAAATGATATCTCAAAAATCACTTGTCATAGAGAGCTAAATTATGTATCAAACTGATCGCTAGGGTCATGTTTATATTCAACATAATGGAAGCCTTAGTCAAAAATAGGATGTATGTTGGAAAATATTGAAAAAATAGTAATTTTCACCTATTTTTGGTATTTTTTTTATAGAAAGCTAAATTATGTATCAAACTGAAGGCTAAGGTCATGTTAATATTCAATATAACGAATATGTTAATGATAAACATAGTGGCAAGTCGGCAAAAATAGAAAAAATAGTATTTTAATTAATTTTTAGTGTCAAAAATGAGAAAAAAATATAAATGTATGACCATTATTCGTAAAAGATATACAATCTAATTTATGTAATGAAACAATACACTATCTACGATAGCATAAAGTCATTACACATTTTGTGTGCAGATTAAACTTTATAAGATTTTGATTGGAATAGTTTAGAGATTGTATGATGGATGCAGTTGGTCAAAAAAACAAAAAAAAATAACCTGTAGGAAGAAGATGATCTTCAGAGTTAGGACGAGATGGATGAAAATATAGATATTACAGTACATAAATTGTAGAGAACTGATTTTTGTAAATCATATTTGCACATAAAATATGTAAAGTCGTTATGCTATCGTAGATATTGTATAGTTCCGTTTCGTAATTTAGATTTGATATCTTTTACAAAATGGTCATACATCTAAACATGACTCCTGCCTTCAGTATTTGATACATAGCTTTTATGACAAGTGGTTTATGAAATATTGGCGTTTTAATTTTGTGTGTGTGTGTCTTTTTCCAAAATTGAATTATAATCACTATTTTATCTATTTTATCAAGTTTACATAATTTATGCCAGCATGTTTATGATAAAACCTCCATTACCTTGAATATAAACATTTTTTTTAAACAAAAATTAGTAAAAATCACTATTTTCTCTATTTTTGCCAACTAACACCATGTTTATGATTAAGACCTTAATATTAAATATAAAATATGACCATTGTCTTCAGTTTGACACATAGGCCTAATTTAGCTTTCTACGACAAGTAGTTAATAGGTTTTAAAACTTTTTTACCAAAAATTAGTGGAAATAATTATTTTTCACAATTTTTGCCAACTTACATCATGTTTATGATTAAGATCTCTTGCCATAGGTTTCAGACATAATTAAGCTCTCCATGGCAAGTGGTTTTCGTGATTTTTTTTGATTTTTTTTTTTGTGGCTATTAAAATTACCTATCAAATGAGGTGTATGATGACACATTATATTAATGTTGAGACACAAGGAATACCAAAAAAGTTATTTCTATGGCTTTTTTGGCTAAATTTAAGAATAAATGTTTTATTTATGAGAAATACTAAGCCAACAATTTTTTTATTATTTGATACTTTTTCAAAGCTGGTGGATTCTCATCGCCAGGCCTTGGTGGCATTATACAAAAGCTGTGTTATCATATAAATCTTTCGATAGATAAATTGAATATATATATACCCCCACACACATATATATATATATATTATATATATATATATATAAATATATATATATATATATGTGTGTGTGTGGGTGTGTGTATATGTGGAAGGGTGGGTGTGTGTGTGTGTGTACTTATTTGCTAATCATTATTTTCTTATAGGCAATGAATCTACAACTAGTTGCAGAGGTGGTTGTGTTTGTTGCCTGCTTCTTGGGATTCATATGGTATGACTTTATAAATAAATAAATAAATATATATATATATATATATATATATATATATATATATAATAATAATAATATTAATAATAATTCATATTTAATTGTTGTTGATCTGGACCCACGTATGTCTCATCGTAAGAATAAAAAGCTAAGTAGACGCAGGCACACTAAAGAGCTACGAGACTTTGAATAGTACAGATTTATTATTGCCTATTTAGTCCAGTAAAGCCAAACTCAACTTCAATGTCAAAGAATTTAATGTTTTTTATTCTATAATAATAATAAGGATTTATAATGTGCACACATCTCAACAAGAGTGCTCAAGGCGCAGTGTCAAATTTCGCTTTAAGATGAAATATATTCACATTAAATCCCTTAGCAATTTAAAAAGAAATCCTTAAACCAATTTTCCTAGGCAGCGTTGCTACACATATAAGTATGCTCAGATACTCATAAGACAGTATGATGAGCATCAGCAACTTTTCATTGTTATTCATTATTATCTTTTTTGTTATTATATTAACATTGTTGTTTGGTACTTATTTATTCTATTATTATTATATTTATGACTTCATTATTTCCTTTAATAATTTTAATTTTTCTTATTTGCCTTCTATTTTTGGTTATTTTTTTATTTTTTTTTTTTTTTTAATCTTTATTATAATTGTCATCCCTGACAATGATTATATTTATTATTGTTTACTAAAGCTGATCTTGGTTATTTTATTAATCACTTAGGCCTATTTATTTTTTATCATTATTATTTTTTTCTATTATTATTGACTTTATTTTACAACCTACTTACTTAGGCCTCCTTTAGTCTCTGGCATTCTCTTTTTGCAATTTTGGATACTTTTGAGCTTTTTTATTCCAATTTATTTTATACTTCTGACTTCCAAAAAAATTTTTTTTTAACTGTTGCTATTTTAATTGTTCTTTTTCCTTTGACCGACTTGTTTTGTGTGTGTGTGTTTTATTATGTCGAATGTTAATTGTTGTTGTAACAGCACCACGAGTCCTGACCGATTATCCAACCTATGTTTTTCCCCTTGCATTAACAATTCAGATGATTTTACCTCCAATATAGATCCCGATCCTCATTTCTTTTCTAATAACAAACAAAGCATGTCAGAGTATTACGACCCTGATGAGTTCCCTATCACTGAAACATTAAATGATATTTTTTCTACCATTCATTTCAATTCTAGAAGCATTCTAAAAAATTTTGATCAAATGAAACACCTTTTAACTTCGCTCAAACTACCTTTTGATATAATTGGAGAGAGCGAAACCTGGCTCAAGTATGATAATCCTCTAATACAGCTCCCCAATTATAATTTTGTCTCCCACCATAGAATAAATGACGGTGGAGGAGTAGCCATGTATATTCATAATAGTCTCCCATTTTTTACTAGACATGACCTCCGTCTTAACCCCTCTAACTGTGAATCAATTTTTATTGAGATTACAAAACCCCATCGCAAAAACATTGTCGTCGGAACCGTCTATAGATCCCCCTCCCTTGACACTTTTCAATTTACTAATGAACTTGACAGTGTTCTTTCCAAACAAAAATTGTCTACATTATGGGAGACCTCAATATTGACATTCTGAAGCATGAGTCAGATAACGGTGCCCGCTTCTTGGTTAACTCCTTTTTTGGCAACCATTATCTACCCCGCATACACAGACCATCTCGTATCACGAAAAATTCAGCTACACTATTAGATAATATCATTACTAATCAATTAGACTTTCCTAATTTGAGCGGATTAATTTATAGCGACATAACTGATCATCTCCCTGTTTTTAATATTTTGTATTTTTCACGTGCTGTAAGTGGCTCAAATAAGGAAGAGAGTTTTAAATTTAGAAAAATTAATTCCACCACCTTAGAAAATTTCCGTCACGACGTGTCCACTTAACAGTGGTCTGAAGTCATAAGTAGTCAAGACCCTGATAAAGCATATTTTAATTCTGTAACCACATTAAAGAAAATTTACGACAAACATTTTCCTCTACTGAATTCTACCAAAAAGCCGAGTAAGATTAAACCATGGATGAGATGTGTATAAGAGACAGGCTATAACCACTACTACAGTAATGTATACATCTACTGTTCTTTTTCAGGCTTCCTGCTTTATGCATCTGCATAAGGAAATTTTGAAAACTTAATAATTACAAATTACAAATCAGCAAATTGCAACAGAATATGACATCTTTTTTAATGACTTTTTATCATTAGTAAAAAATATAGTATTAGAAAAAAAGTAGGATACTAACTCAAGATATTACCAGCACAGAATTATCAACAAAGGTGCTATAAGATTTATGTAACAGGAATGTCAGCAGTCATTACAAAAATTCAAGAAAATTTCCGTCACGACGTGTCCACTCAACAGTGGTCTGAAGTCATAAGTAGTCAAGACCCTGATAAAGCATATTTTAATTCTGTAACCACATTAAAGAAAATTTACGACAAACATTTTCCTCTACTGAATTCTACCAAAAAGCCGAGTAAGATTAAACCATGGATGTCAAATGGTTTGCTGAAATCAATCAAGTATAAACAGAAGTTATATGCTAAATTTCTTCACTGCCCCTCTACCAAAAATGAAGAGCTTACAAAGAATTCCGCAATAAATTAAACAATATTATTAAAAATACAAAAAAAAATATTTCCAAAATAAATTTCTAAAACATAAAAATGATATCAAGGCAACTTGGAAAACCATTAATTTTTTAATCAATAAAACAAGTAGAGAACAATCCAATACCTCCTTTTACTGTGATGAAGAATTCTAATGCTTTTAACAATTTTTTTTGTCGAAATTGGACCCTCCATTTCAAACAAAATTCCCAATGTTAACAACTCATTTAAAGACTTTCTTCCTAGCCCAACCCATAACACTATATTTCTTGCCCCAGTTGATGAGGCTGAAGTGATTAAAATACTTGCCTCTTTTAAAACCAACAAATCCCCAGGTATTGATGATTTCCATACTAAAGCCATCAAATATATTACTAATTTCATCTCTCGTCCACTATGTCATATATTTAATATTGCCTTAACTAAGGGTGTGTTCCCAGACAAGATGAAGTTAGCACGCGTCACCCCTATTTATAAATCGGGCATCAAATCTGACCTTTCTAACTATCGACCAATTTCAATACTATCAATTTTTTCGAAGGCCTTGAAAAAGGTAATTTACAATCGAGTTTCCTCATTTATTTCGAAATATGACATACTTTATGAAAAGCAGTTCGGTTTCAGAAAAGGATATAGTACATCTATGGCCTTTATTGATCTTACTAACAAAATTGTTAATGCATTTGAAAATCGCCATCTTGCAATTGGACTTTTTATAGATCTCTCCAAGGCTTTCGACACAATTGATCACAATATTCTCTTATTTAAATTATCTCACTATGGAATTCGTGGCCCCGCACTTACCCTTCTCAAAAGTTACCTCTCCAACCGGACCCAGTGCACTAAATATTCTACCTCTATATCAAATTACAGACCAATCACTTGAGGAGTTCCTCAAGGTTCTTTACTGGGTCCCCTCCTTTTCATTTTGTACATAAATGATATCCATCAATCCTCTAACTTACTTAATTTCTTCCTTTATGCTGATGACACCACTGTTTTTTTATTCTGACCATGATATCCAATCATTATTTGATACTGTTAACTCCAATCTGATTTCCTTGTCCCAATACTTTGCTGCTAATAAACTTTCAATTAACCATAACAAATGTAACTTCATCTTGTTTGGGACCCCACAAAAGTTAAAATGTATTGATACCACTCCTTTTAAAATTTTTATCGATAATTATGACATACCCTCTGTTCAGTCAGCTAAGTTCTTAGGAGTTCATCTTGACAGTGGCCTATCATGGAAAAAACATATACACGAAATTGAAAACAAAATTTCAAAAAGCCTTTGTATTATTTTTAGATTATCCCCATTTGTACCCACTAATATTCTTCGTATTCTTTACTGCTCTTTAATCCTTCCTTATTTGAGCTACTGCAACATTGTTTGGGGCAATACTTATTTATCCAATATTAACAGACTTCAAGTTCTCAAAAAAAAAGCTATTAGACTTATATCTGGCGCTCCACCACGGTCTCACTCCTCTACCCTGTTCTCCAATTTAAACCTTCTCAAACTCCCCGATATTAACCATATTCAACAAGGTACTTTCTTATACACTGCCATTAATTCTATTCTCCCTAACCATCTGTGTAATATGTTTACCCTAAATCACTCCATTCACAATTATCATACTCGATCCAGAAATTATATTCACATACCTAATCATAACACCAAATATTTTCAACACAATATTAGATACACTGGTCCTATACTCTGGAATAAATTACCATCCTCAATTATGAACTGAGTTTCCGTGAAGTCTTTTACCAATAAACTCAGGAATCACCTTGTTTCGCAATACAAAAATTAATTTAATCGTGACTCGTCTTGCTTGTGTGTGTTTGTGTTGAGTGTTGGTTTTTTTGTTTGTTTGTTTTTTTTTTTTGTTTGTTTGTTTTTGTTTTTTTTTTTTTTTTTTAGGAGTTGAAATCATGTATGATTTGTACAGTCCACTCATACGAAAGATTGAAGTTCTCAAGCTAGAGAAACGTCCTGACGTTAACCTGCGATATTTACGAGATTCACTACCCGAATACAGCACTGTAGACCCTGACATGATATCTATAAAGCATGTACCAGGCCATCCAATTCCAGTCAATGATATAAAGGTAAATGAGATAAAGATTGAATGTAACAACCCTCACAGAGGTGTAGGTAGACCTGTCTCTTATACACATCTATTATACTACAAGGTATGTTATATATGTATGAACCAACAAAGGGCCTCCTATATGAATCTATATTCACCACATGGCTCCCTTAAATTTTTAACAAAATTTACCTACAAGCAGTATAACAATAACACAAGTTCAACAATACAATACAAAGAAATATAATGTTCAAAACGAATGTTTTTTTTTTGTCTAAATGCTCAAATGGTATAAGCAACAAGATCATCTCTTGATCAAACAGGATGCAATAATATCTTCATAATCCATGATTCGCAAACAGTCCAACAATGTTCTATTAAATCAACTTCAGATCAATGCTTTTTTTTTTTTACATCGCAAACAACAGTCTGTGTAATTGCTCCACATATTCCACACTACTTACAGATGTCATCTTCAGCAAGAAACTTCGTATCAAAAGGGCGGCGCTAGGCTCCTTGGCGGGGATAACCCCAATTCGCTATTTATCTTCTCCAGTAATAAACACTAACTTGTGTAAAGGTCGATCCATTTTGACCTTCTTTGATCCAACATACAATTGCACTTTTCGAACAAGACCGTCTTCACTGGGATACGTTGCAATTGCAAGTGACCAATGATTCCTAGGTGCATTTTCTTCAATAACAAGCATAACGTCGCCTATCTTCATATTTTTTCTCTCCTTTGTCCACTTGCTTCTGGTTTGTAGATTAGACACATATTCCTTTCTCCACCTATTCCAAAATTCCTCTACTAGATGTTGAACTCTACGCCACCTTCTGCTACAGTACTGGTCGGTATGTGTAAACTTTCCTGGCGGTGGCAACACTACACTTGCCTTGGCAGTGAGCAGATGGCTTGGCGTAATGGCTCCATAGAAGCTTCATTCAAACTGGTCAATGGTCTGCTATTCACAATTGCCTCTGCTTCAACCATGAAAGTATGTAACATCTCGTCATCAAACAAACCCTTATGTATAAATAGTAGATTGTTCAGAACGTTTCGGGTACTCCTAATCATCCGTTCCCAAACCCCTCCCATGTGACTAGCACACGGTGGGTTTAAGATCCAATCACAGTTCAACTTTAACATTTCTGCCTTTACTACATCCTGGTCCATTTCTTGTAGTGCCTCTCGCAACTCCTTTATGGCTCCAATAAAATTTGTACCTTGATCTGAGCGCACCTGTCTAACTGGTCCTCGTCTTGCTATGA